CTTTCCTGGCTGCCTCTCAACAGGTTTCTTTCTAAGAAATCTGTGCACAGGAAAGCAGAGTTGTGTTTGCAGGAATGTGTCCTGGCTCACAGTGGACCCGGGCAGTCATGGCCTCCCATATCCTTTACTTGGTTGGGCAGAAGTTACATGTAGACCTTCCTCATGGAAATGCCCCTTTCTTAAACTTGGTTCACTTCTCCAAATCCTCTCTGTTCCAATTTTTATGCTTATGGACTACTACTTCAACAGAATATCTTTCTCTTTCCACATAATAGTCTCTCAGGATTTTCTTTCCCAACCTCACAGTACTTTGATGTCAATGTTTACCATTACTAATATTTAGGGAATTCTTTACTAATATGGCATTTGTACTACCTCTGAAGATGTTTGACTAAGGTTGACAGAATCAGAATTTGGGGGTCTGGTTCAGTGGGTTAGAAAACTTAGACTTTATTGAATGGAGCTTTCCTTATCTTTCTAACAAGTGGGTGCTGATGTCTGAAAGCCAGGTTTGCTAAGCCAGCTGACAAGGAGAGCATGTCCCTGGGATGTTTTTCCCTAATGGGCCTCTCTCTGTCTCTCTGTCTCTGTCTCTCTCTCTCTCTCTCTCTGTGTGTGTGTGTGTGTGTGTGTGTGTGTGTGTGTGTGTGTGTGTGTGTTGAGGGGTCATCTTCAGTTTGAAATGCAAATATCAGGGAACAAAGGGTCTCAGAATTCCCAGATCAGTAGGGAGAGTCCAGGGAGCAACAAGTGTTTATTTCAGAGATAAGAAAAGGCTCCTTTAAAGATAATTAGCTAATCCTAACTCAATTTTACATTCTGGCTGATTAATTGGGCACATATATGTTCAAAAGGAAAAAGATTCTCAGTGACACAATTCAGGAGTTTTAATGTACTGTTTCTGGAAATATAAAACAAGAACTAGGTTAGTTGGTATTTACACCATAGATTTATCCTGTGTCGTTTTACTAAAATCTCATGCAACTTGGTCCAGTTCTCTCGATAATATGAATTGTTAATGTGCATATCTGATTGTTTCTGTATGATCTGTTCTGTGGGCCACTCTTGCACTATTATTCTGGAAGTTTCTCCCAGATACTGGTACTGTAGTTCATGCTCAGGTTTTGGCCTTTTGGTACGGCCATGAAAATGTTCAGAGCAGGAAATATCAGAAAATTGTTGTGGGGACAGCAGCTAAACCAGGGCAGCATCTCTCAAAATGTTCAAGAGTTTAGCTACCAATTCCAGTGCTTACTTATTGAAAAGTGGGCAGAGTGGTACACATTCTGGAGAAGAAGGCAGAAAATTCTAGGGAGAGCACTGCTTGAGATTGAAGCCAGAAGGAACTACAAAGCTTCCCTTGCATGGAGGTCCATAAAGGAGGGGAAGGAACATAATTTGTAAGCAGTTCTCTATGTGAGGAAGAGGAAGTCTAGACAGTCAAAGTAATCATGAGATCACTGTCCTGTATCTACAAGTCTTTGTGTAAAAGTTTTGTAGCCACAGAGTATCTAGGTGATGAGGGTCTAGGAATGTCACAGAAATACCACCTAACAGACTTCACCAATTTGAAAAGTGGCTACTTCTGAGTGAGGATGGAGACACTGGCAGGATCAGATGTCAGATTTATGGACAGGCAGGGATATGGTGCATTCACATATGGAAAACCTGGGTAAGGTGGGGACAGAGGAAATGTGTCACCTTGGCCCTGGTGATAGGAGGGCATTATTGCTGAGACATTAGGCAGGGTGAGGATGAGGGTAGGAACCTCCTGGTTCTGGAATGTGGAGAGTTCTTAGCTAACTAACACTTTGCATAAATTTCACAGAAAGGTAAAATAACAAAAGTGACGTTGGAGAATGCATGCAGACTATCTTCCAGAGAAAGATACTTAGTATTCATTGGGATGGATAGATATATTTGCACTCAGTTGAGTTAGAAAGCTGTTGTTAAAAAGCTGAGGGAACCCTAATTGTGTAATTGGCATTAAAACAGTGCTGTAACACAGGCATAAAACCCAATCACTGGCTAGTAGTGGTGCATGCCTTTAATGCCAGCACTCAGGAGGCAGAGACTGATGGGTTCTGTGACTTCAGGGCCAGCCCAGTTTACACCGCACATTCCAGGACAGCCAGGCTACTCAGAGAAAACCTGTCACACAAAACAAAAACACTGTATCATTGAAATCTAGACAACAATCTTTTAATTAATTTACACAAAACAGTGCCTACACTAGTGCTTACACTAAATAGTTTTCAAAATCGACTAAAGCTCAAAGGTTTTAAGACCATATGAAGGACTTATTTGTTTCAAGGTGCTCATTAAACCCCACGATTGTCTAAATAATACTCCATGTTGCATTGTACTTAGTGTAAAGGATGCTACAGTTGAGGCTCTGTGAATGTTATTTTCCTCCAACCTATGTTTTAGAGGTATGGAAAGCTCACTCAGTCATTCAGACGTGTGTGAGCAAGATCACTTAGTGCAACATAAATTAAAATGAGAACATTTGGTGGGGGTTAAGATGATAGGTTGTGGGTGTAAAACTTCAGAAACCTGGTGTTAACAATAAGTCTATATAGTCCCTTGAGGTTTCCAGAGGAAAGTATTGTAGGCTGCTGTGTGGTCTTCAGTTTCGTTTTAAGCTTGTTTATAATAACCAAAAGTAGGTATGTACTGTAAGACCCGCGGAGGGCATGGACCCTCATGCCCCAACTCAGGAAAGACGGCCCCCCAAAATCACTCATGAGAAGCGGTCCTGATGCAAAAGCATGAGGTCTTTTATATTCCAGTACACTGGGGTCCGCAGCCATACTCCACGTGGGGTTAGGGAAAGACAAAACTTGCAGTGAATCCTAATGCTGGCTGTTTTTACTGGGTCTCCAAGCTTGCATCCCTAAGTGAGATAGGATCATCTTTAAGTTCTGGGGACTTCTCACCTTAAGCCTTTATTCCTGCAACACCAAGCCTGCATTCTCTCCTTTTGACTGTCTAGTTTTTAGTGTCTTCTAGGCTTTTCTGCCTATCTTTTTCTGCCTCCTTCTTTTTCCACAAAGTCAGTGTCCTGGTTCAGGATGGCCGCCTAACTCTGTGTCAGGGAGAAAGAAAGCAACCAACGGGGAGTGGGGGTGTTGTAGAAGTTGTGTATTTAAAAATGGCTGAGAGAGTGTAAGGAATTGGGAGGAAGTGTGTGGGCAGCTGTTAGATATCCTCAAGTGGGAAAGCATAGATTCCAGGAGCATCAATGTGCATAACAAGCTGGGTGTGTCTTGATATTAAAGACCACCACACAACAGATCAAAATGCCAATATTAAGAAGGACAAGTGAAAACAAGGACCCTCTACTAAGTAAAAAGGCTATTTTTAATTCATAAATTCTGGAAAGCAAATATCACTTTTCTCCTCTTTTGTGTCACTGGAATGTCAACCACCAACTTCCTGGGCATCAGGACTGTCCCGGAATAGACACAAAACAGACTTGGGCATTTTGTTGTTCTTTTTGCTGTTTTTGTCTCGTTGGGGTTTTTAGGTTTGTTTTGGTTTTGTTGTTATGTATGATGACAAATCTGGGACAGGGAGAGACAGAGAGCACATGAAACTGGTGGGTGTTGAGAATATCAGAGACTTGAGCAGAGAAAACTACTATATTTATGCCAGGGTCACGAAAACCCAAACAGACCACCACAAGAAGCTGTTTGTTTGTTTTGGGTTTTGTTATTGTTATTGTTTTGTTTTGCTTATATTGAGACAGGGTTTCTCTGTGGCTTTAGAGGCTGTCCTGGAACTAGCTCTGTAGACCAGGCAGGTCACAAACTCACAAAGATCCACCTGCCTCTGCCTCCCAAGTGCTGAGATCAAAGGCATGCCCCAACACTGCCTGGCAATCTTCCAGGACTCCTGACTTTATGTTGTTTGTTTGTTTGTTTGTTTTTCAAGACAGATTTCTCTGTAGCTTTGGAGTCTGTCCTGGCATTCTGTAAACTAGGCTAGGCTGGCCTAGAACTCACTGTCAAGTGCTAGGATTAAAGGCTGCACCACTACCTACAGACTTCCAACATTTTTATTTAGGTCAACTGGATTAACACTCCAAATAACTTTTAACAACTTCCCATATAACTAAGCATTACTATAAAGATTTATAAATTGTTTCATACGCGTTCATGACTTTACTGTTTCTAAACTGACATATTTCAAATTGGATAAAGAAGAATCATAATGTAATCATCAAACTATTCTACAATTGGGGAGATATAAATCTTGTTTTGCAATTAAAATACTTGGGAAAGAATAATTATAAAATGATAATGTAGGGCAATTACCTCAAAGCAATGATAGAAAATAGAGATGTCATTATTATAGGAAATCTAAGGTACTAAGTAAAAAACTAACTTTTTCTATGAAATAAAGTCTTCATAGACCTTTTCAAGATTTACTAACAGTAAATTTTAATAATTATCTCCCTACACACAACAGGTTGTACAAGCAGAAATACATATAATTTCAACATCTTCTAGTTTAAGAAAAAAAGTCCTTTAGTATATTCATACTCTAAAATAGAGGTCATCATTTTAATTAACTGTTGCATTAAAGCAAAACTCTAAATGGTAATCATTTGTCAAACCTATATGTTTCCATAAAATCTTAACTTTTCTATTTGCTTTTTGCCTTTAAAAAATATTTACGACAGCAACAATTTGCCAGTTGTCATTGCAGAAGCTGCTACCTAATCAGAATGAAAGACATTTATGACCTTTTAAAAATAAGCATACATATTTTATAAACAATCAGATATATAAAAATTAAAGTTTTGTCATGTCCTTGTACAGTAATATATTGACATTTCTACATATGATACATGTGTTTATAAACACAAAAATACATATATAATATATATATATTCATTAAATTTGAAAAGGAACAGAGTATGTGTAAATAGACTTCAAAACTCAAACATTAAAAAGTCCTATAAACATTAAACAATTTTAATAAGTTTATGTACAATCCTAAATAGCTTTATTTGCATATATAAAACTGGTATGTAAAATTATGCAACTCAGTATTTAATGGCAAGGAAGTCTACAAAAAATAACAACATTCTATTCACAAATAATTTCAAGAAATCAATATATATCTAATGTGTAAATCTGAGTCAAGATTAAAAACAAAAAACACCACTCAGAAATTTATTGTTTATATGCAACCCATTATAATTGCCTTCACAGTTATTGTTTATTTTGTAACCACATGAAATCATGGCTTCAAAACAATAGAGACAGAGGGCAGTATAAGCCTTTTTTATATTATTTTGACTTCAGAAGAATTTTTTAATTTAGTAATTGTCTTACAAAGAAATAGCCAACTAGGACTCTATGTAATTCTGGAGATAGAAATTAAAGACTAATACACAGCATAAACCCATCAGCTCAGAAATGCAGTCCAAACAGTATTTCTGACAGATATATATAAATCATGAGAATATACTAACATTAATTTTTAACAAAAAATGGAATCCATCTGGTTCAACTTTATGCATATTGGAGTACAAGCTGTACTGTTTAGTGTCCTGTTCTATTCTTGAGAGGTTGCATAGACTTAGCTTTGAGATAATAATCTTATGAAATACAAAATAAGTAGCATATTTCCTGAAGAACAATGTTCCCAATATTTCTCGAACAATGTTAAGATGCAGAAGATAATGATGGGGCCTACAATTAAAAGAAAATGATATTATGGATTTGTTACACAAGCCTGCAGGAGTATTTCTGTATCTCAGAACTATAAATAAATACTAACAGCCTCTTAATGCTTGAGTCTGAAAGAAACAAAATCTCTCTCTTTTTAATGTGCATTTGTGCTTTGCCTGCCTGTGTGTCTTTGTGCAGGTGTTGTAACCCCTGAGAGTACAGTTGCAGGCAGTTTGAGCTGTCCTGTGGGTACTGAGAATCGAACCCAGGTCCTCTGGAATAGTTAGTACTCTTAACAGGTAAGACATCCTCCCATGCCCTAGAAAAAAATCTTAACAGCCAGCCAAGTGAGAATTTATCCTGAAACCAGTGCCCAAGATTTTGCTATCAAAATCTCCATCACTGTTTCTGTAGTTTTCTGTTTAGTCAAAAACTTTCAGAATATTATTATGTTAATATTTTTAAATTCTAAATGTGCACAGATTATCTTTCTGTTCTATTACTTTTTTGAACATTCCACGATGTTTTAAATTTTCCCCAAACAAGATGACTATCAACAATAACAAAAATAAGAAAACAAATTTCCAATATAGAAATAAAGCTCCTAAAATAATACCTACAATGAAAAAAAAAAATAACACAGCTAGTAGAAATAGAAATGCTACCTCAACCACTATTTTATTGAAATTAAAAATCAGTTTTGTAAATTGTATACAGATATAAAGGAAGGCAAAACACTCAAATATAATAATAAATAATATAAAAGATAAACACCTGTGCAATTCATGAAATAGAGGATGGTCTCACATAAATTTCACATTTACTCTGGATTCCTAAAATATTTTCATAAAATTAGTAGAAATAAAATTATTACATTTCAAATAAAGAAAATTAAATTGAAATACACATACTTCCATCTGGATAATTACTAGAGAAGAACTAATTGTCTGATAATGTCAACAATATATAGGCTATAATACTCTAAAAAGCAAAGGAAGATTTAACTCTGACAACATTCTTAGATAAAAACCCAAAAAACTTGTATGTGTGTGTGTGTGGTTTATAATGTACAATATATCTACTGGGTTATAGATTTTCACATTTAGATACTTAGAATCCAAACTGCTACTTTACAACCAAGATAATAGACAGTGACAATTTAAAGAACTTACTAATGTAAACTGGTCATAGACTTGCATCAGGTCCTCCATTTTGTACTGTTCTAGTACCACAAAATTTTCCAAATTTCCACTTGTTTTTCGTGCACAGTTCTGACAATGTACCTTAAATGTCTTTTCAGAATTGCTTTCATTAGTGACAAAAAGCAAATTAAATACTTCCACCTATTGTTACACAAGAAAAAGGAGCAAAAGAAAAATAGTTGGAATTTAAACATTTGGCTAGAGAAAGTACTAAAATGGTATCATTAAATGCAATGAGATATCATTTAACACAGACAGACCTAAAAGATGGAAATAATATTTTCCATCAAGATTCTATACAGTAAAGTTTATAATGGTTTCACAACATCTGTGTACAATCAGATAAAACATTTTCTTATGATGAATCTTCATAATTTATTTTTTTACCCTAGCTAGAAATATTCAATATTTTATCAGGAAAAACAAACAAATAAATATAAACAACCCAACAACATATGTAACCAAATATAATTTGTAGTCTTTCAAAATTTGGAAACTGATAATATGAGTTAGAAGTATTCAGCTTTCATCCTCATAAATAAATGAAAACAAGTACAAGCACAAACAAATTTGTGAGCATTAAAATAAGTACATTTTAAAGGTAGTGGACAGTTACAAAAGCTTAAGTACCATTACGAAAAGGATTATGCACTAATACTAGGACAGATTTACTTTTTTGTATAAAACAAGCTATAATTTCTTTGATCCTATAATAAACTGCTCTATTGCAAGTTTATTACTTAATTTATCTACTGTTTTCATAATGTACAATGATGATTTTCCCATCCCTCTGATGCTCCCAAATTCCTTAAACCATCAAACTCTATGCATGTTTGATAACCATCCCTCCAAACAAAAAGAAAAACTTAAAAATAGAACTGGGCAATGGGGGTACATGTTTTTAGTTCCAGCACTGGGAAGGCAGAGGCAAGTGGATCTCTGCGAGTTCAAGACCAGCCTGGTCCTCAGAGCTAGTTCCAGGACATCCTCCAAAGCTACATAAGAAAATCCTGGGTATTTTTGTGTTCTCTTATTGCTTTGTTTGGGTGTCTTTTGTCTTACTGGTCTGTTTATGTATCATGGTTCCTGGTTTCATATTTTTATAAGTTTTGGGTGTACATGTATATTTCTTCTGGGTTTTTTGTTGTTTAAATTCTGGTTTGTTTGGGTTTTTGCTTGATTATGTATTTATATTGTAAATAGAGAAAGAAAGGGCATGGAGTTGGGGAAGTGGGGAACTGGGTAGGATCTGGGAGGAGCTGGGGGAAGACACTTCGATCAGAATATATTACAAGAAAAATTATTTTCAATAAAAATTTACATATGAAAAAGAAAAAAAGAAAACCCTGTCTCAAAAATAAACAAAAAAACTCCAAAACAACAACAAAAACCCCAAACAAACAAACAAGCCAAAAAAAAAACCTAATAAAATCTATATAAACATGCTTTCAGTTTTCCAATTAAAAGTAAAACTCCTACTTCTTTTTAACCTCACCATTGATAGCCAATCCTTTCATCTTAGACAGTTTTGTCAAAATCCCAATTTTCTTTCTGTTTTCTGAAACTTCCAATAGGCTAAAAAAAAATTTCTAGTATCCACAGCATGCATACCCATCAAGGGACAATTCTGTAAAGCTGAGTCTCTCACCATCAGACTTCCAATATCAGGTGGCAAGTGGGTTTCTATACTTAGGGAACAATCTTAGACCCTTTATAGCAATTATATCTAAAGGTCATATCAACAACTTCCAAATGAATGACAATTCTGTCCATACTATGCCCAATTATCAAATATTTCAATTATTTCTGACTATCATGTGTTTTAAATATATCTGTTGGAAACCAGCAGTCTGCTGACCTCTCCTCCAATGGGCTGAACGCTCATGGCCATGTCATCAGTATGTCTCGCTTTACCTGGCTGTTCATGAGTTACCTAGCTCTCTATCTTGCTCTCTTTCTCTCCACCCTTCTTGCCCTCTGACTCTCTTCCTCTCTCTCCTGCTTTTGGTTGGCCACCAGACACCACCACCCTTTTCTCCCCCCTCTACCAATAAACTCCACATGGGCACTGAGACTTGTGTTTCTGTTTCGTAGGCAGCAATTATAGCAAAAGAACAACAATATCTACCAATGTTCATAAATTATAAGAATGTAAACTCTTTCTTTATCTAGAGATGTTTCTGAATAGTAGGATATTTGCCATAAAAAAACAAATTTCTAGCATTCTTCCTTTGTCCAGAAAAAAAAAAAAAAAAAGACACTATTTTCACCCACTACTAGTCTGACTACAAATAATACTCTTTCCTCTGTCCCTTCATTGTGAACATAGTCTGATAATGTTCCACAAGAATCCATTGTTGGAGAGGCAAACAAAACCAACCAGCAACTGCCATCATTTGAGTCTTGGTTGTGCCTGCACCCACCTGGAGGGAGACCTGGATACAAACCAAACCATCCAGATTCTGCTGCCAACAGAACCTTGGAACAGTATTGACTGTGAAAGACATACACCCCCATCTGCACCCCCTGGAAGAAGGGATGTGAAAATGACAGTATAAGAACACATTCAACAACAGGAAGACTAATATGACTACCAGAGTCTAGGGATCTACACCAGCAAGACCTAACATCCCAACACAGATGAAGCAGAAGAGAACAACCCGATAAGCAATTTATTGATGATATTAGAGACCCTAAAAGGGGAAATAGCAAAGTTCCTTAAAGAAACGGAAGAAAAGAAAAATAAAAAATGAAAGAAATGGAGGAAAAAACAAACAAATGAAAAAATGCAAGAAATGAACAAATCTCTTATAGCATGGAAAGACAATGGGAAAAAAACAATAAAACACATGAAGGAAACAATTCAAACAGTTGAAGACATGAAAACTGAAATAGAGACAATACAGAAAACACAAACTGAGAAAATACTAGAAATAGAAAAACTGGGTAAACAATCAGGAACTACAGATGCAAGCATAACCAACAGAATACAAGAGTTCACAGAGAGAATCTCAGGTGCTGAAGATAGACTAGAGGAAGTAGATTCAACAACCAAACAAAATCTTATATCCAACAAATCCTTAACACAAAAGATCTAGGAAATGTGGGACACTGTGAAAAGGCTAATCCTCAGAGTAATAGCCATAGAATAAGTTGAAGAAGCCTAGCTTAAAAGAGCAGAAAACATATTCAACAAAATCACTGAAGAAGGACATGCCCATGAAAGTACAAGAAGCATACCGAACATCAAATGCACTGGACCAAAGAAAAAAGACCCCTTGACACATAAGATTCAAAACACCTAACATAGAGAATAAAGAAAGAACATTAAGAGCTGTTAAGGAAAAGGCCGGGTAACATAAAAAGGCAGATCTATCAAAACTTCTCCACGGAAACGCTGAAAGCCAGAAGGAGCTGGATAGATACTCTACAAACACCAAGTAGAAGGAATAATCCTGAGTGAGATAACCCAGTCTCAAAAAGAGGAACATGGTATATACTCACACATTTATGGCTTTTAGACATAAAGCAAAGGATTACCAGCCTAGAATCCACACCACCAGAAAAGCTAGGAAACAATGAAGACCCTAAGAGAAACACACATGGTCCTCCACAGAAGGGGAAAGGGACAAGATCTCCCAAACATACTGGGAGCATGGGGTAGAGGAGAGTGAGTTAGGAGAAAGAGAAGGAGACAAGAGGAAGGGCATAATGGAGCATGAAGATTGAGTCAGGGGAGGAACACAGAAGAAAAAGAAAAGTGATACCATATAGTGGTAGCCATTATAGGTTTGAAGTGAAATCTGGCCCTAGGAAAAATGCCCAGAGATCTACAAGGGTGACCCTAATTAACAATCTTAGCAACAGAGGAGAAGCTACCTTAAAATGCCCTGCCCTGATAATGAGATTGATAACTATCCTCCATCCTAGAGCCTTCGTCTAGTAGCTGATGGGAGCAGAAGCAGATACCCACAGCTAAACACTGAGCCAAACTCCTGAGAGAGACAAGGAATAAACAAAGGGGTCAAGATCAGACTGGAGAAACCCACAGAAACAGCTGACCTGAACAAGGAGGAGCTCATGCACTGATAGCTGGGAAGTCAGCAAAGGCTACTATACCTAGCAAAACTCTCAATCACTATAGACATAGAAAACAAGATATTTAATGACAAAGCCAGATTTTCACAGTATGTATCTACAAATACAGCCCTACAGAAAATTTTGGAAGGAAAACTAAAAACCAAGGAAGTTAACTATGCTCACAAACACATAGGAAACAGATAATTCAACTTCACCAGAACCCAAGGGTAAAACAGACAAATATACCCACAATACCACTGCCAACAACAAATCTAAAACAAACAAGCATTAACGATCAATGGTTCTTACTCTCCCTCAACATTAATGTTCTTTCCTTGCCTATAAAAAGACACGGGCTAACAGAATGGATACAAAGACAGAATCCATCCTTCTGCTGCATACAAGAAAAACATCTAAGCTTCAGGATAGACATTACCTCAGGGTAAACGGCAGGGAAAAGATCTTCCAATCAAATGGATCCAAGAAGCAAGCAGGAGTGGCTATCCTAATCTCTAACAAGTCAGACATCAAACCAAAATTAATCAAGAGATGAAGACGGTCATTTCGTATACATCGCAGGAGAAATCCATCAACACAAAGTCTCAATTCTGAACGTCTATGCCCCAAATACAAAGGCACCCACATTCGTAAAAGAAACACTACTAAAACTCAAACCTCACATAAAACCTCACACACTTAGAGTGGGAGGCTTCAACATACCACTCTCACCACTAGACAGGACCACAAATCAGAAACTCAACAAAGAAACAAAAGAACTAACAGAAGTTATGTCTCAACTGGGTTGAACAGACATCTATAGAACATTCCATCCAAAGACAAAAGAATATACCTTCTTCTCTGCTCCACATGGAACCTTCTGTAAAATCGACCATATACTAGTTGACATAACAAACCTCAACAGATACAAGAGAATAGGAATAGTGCCCTGAATCTTATCAGACCACTATGCTTTGAAATTGGAATTCAACAACAACACAAATCGCAGAAAAGCTACAAACTTATGGAAACTGAACAATGCACAAATACCTGGGTCAAAAAAG